GATCGTCGAGTTCAACATGATCCGGGCGCACGTGAAAAACGGTAACTACCTACCCCACAAACGTCGTTTCGAAACGTTTTCCTCTCTCACGGTCCCGTGTCCGTTTTTTTTTTTTTTTTCTTTGGTCTCGTGGCGTTAGAGACCAACTCTACTACGAGTTTGTAACTCAACGTTGACGAACGAAACGGTTAGTAAACTTCTTCGACGTTTCAAATTGTTTTCACACCTACGCCTTTTGATGCACCCGAGATCTCTACTTCTTCGCTGTCCACTCGCACGGTTTAAACAACGTTCGGAGTTCAGATCACTGGTGGAATTATCCGAATTTAATAAAAGCCCTAGCAGCCAATATTCATGATCTAAATCAATCGGGAACATCTATTCGAAACTTCTTCCGTCTGAAATTCAATTATCATTATTATCTATCTATCCTCTAAACTGTTATAATAAACTGTAACTGAATCAGCTCTTCAGATCCATCACTGTTTTAGATCTATGCTCCCGTGGGGTCTATTAATTATATTCAAAATTCGCTACCTTTTACTACACATAATTTTTTTTAAATATATTAAACTAAAGTTATCAAGCGCCATAAAACTTGTGTAAAATGTCTTACATGTATTAACCATGTAAATAGATTCTATGAATTCATCGACTTATTTATACAGCTGATAATAGTTGTGTGTTTAATTTATGACTTCCTTAAAATAAAATAAATAACTACAATTCTTTGTATACCTACACGTAATATGTAATACATTATAACTGTAGAAATTAAATTATATCCAATATTATAGTGTATCTAATACTTATATGTTAAGATCAATGAACTAATAGATAATTTATAAATTAAAGCTGATCTAAAGGTAATATTTTAAATTTTACAATTACTCAATACAATGTTTTCGTTTAGATTTTAATTAATGTATAATTTTTGATAATATTTTACCTAGATACTCGTGTTTAAATTTATTTCTCTTATTAGCAGTTAATATTAATTATATTTCTGGTACTTATCTAATGAATAAAAAGTAGAATTTCGATTTATAAATTAAAAGTGTATAGTTTTTAACTGTTCCTATTTCTATTTCTAAAAGCAAAATTTATGGCAAAACTATTCACATTTGATTTCACATTTTTTACTTGTATAATTATGATAACATAACTTATTATAAAAATATTATTAAATAAGTAAAAAAAAAAAATTAAAATTATGTTTAAATAAACCATTTTTATTTAAGGTTTATTGAATTGGTTAAGTAAAGTTTTTATTAAAATCACAATATTTTTAAAAAAAATTAAGTTTCAAAAGACTTTCTTACTATTTAGTAATTTGTGTAATAACTTTTTGATTCAAGCACTGTTCGTTGAGTATATATGAATAATAATCCAATAAATATTTTGCTGACATATTTTTAGCTATAAATTTAAATAAAATTATAAAATAAGATTAATTTATTTATTATTTATCATTTATGTTCAGTATACTATAATTTAATATCTTACAAAACATTAACTATAGACTCATAAATAAGTGTCAATTAAAAAATTATTTTAAACATTGGTATTTTTCTTATGGTACTCCAATCATTTTGTTTTTACTTCTATAATATAATAATTTGTTATGAGGGTGGAAAATAATAATACATTTAATGAACTAAATATATTTCAAATTCAATTTTGTTGCCAAATATGTTTAAAATATTCACTATTTTTATTTTAAATTTATTGAATTTTACCTAAATGATTGTATAGTATATTTATGATCTAATATCTTATTATATATGATTTATATAGTTCTTAATTTTAAAACTTTTAAACTTATAATAATTTATTTCCCAAATCAATATTCAAAATTATATTTATAGTATAATATACAAAGACTGTAAAAAATGATTATATGTAATATTAAAATCATGGCTATAATTTCTTAATACCAATATCCTTGTGGTTTATGTGCTCTGCATTTAAAGCAGTCTGTTGATTTAGGAAGCCCGACCAAGTACTAATCATAGAATGAAACCTTATGCCATATCAGTACCAACATGCTTTAATACTTATGCCCTTGAGATACTATTTCATACATTTCACACTAATTTTGCTTCTAGTTTTTTTTCTTTTTTTTTGATTTATACGAACAATAATATGTTTGTATAAGAATATAATCAAAACTTTTAGTAAATTTAGCTTAAATCTTCTGAAGATATGGCTTAATTACAAATACTGTTTTTTTTTTGTTTGTTCTCAGATAACATATTTACATGTTTCAAAATGCATAAGTTTATCTGAAAACTTGACTGAATAGAACTTCTTTTGAAACATTTGATATATGAAATTTTGGTAAGAGAAAATCATGCTGATCAAGGAATATCGTATACCACTCCCACTTAGTGTGGAAGAGTACAGAATCGCTCAGCTTTATATGATAGCTGTAAGTAGTTTGATATATTTCTACTGAATTATTTACATTGTTATAAATTAATACTTTCAATTAGAAAAAAAGCAGAGAAGAAAGCAAAGGAGCCGACAGTGGAGTTGAAATATTAGTCAATGAACCTTATGAAGGTGGTCCTGGTGGTGATGGAAATACTAGTGGTGGACAGTATACAAGAAAAATTTATCATGTTGGGAGCCATTTACCAAGTAATTTTGTTAAAAATAAGTTCTTTATATTTCTTTTAAAATAATATAAAGAATACTAGAAAAATAACATGATAATGAATGATCTGCAGGTTGGTTTAAAGGACTGTTACCAAAATCTGCATTATCTGTTGAAGAAGAAGCGTGGAATGCATATCCATATACAAAAACTCGTTATACTTGTCCATTTGTTGAAAAATTTTCCTTGGAAATTGAAACCTATTATTATCCCGATAATGGATCTCATGATAATGTGTTTAAAATGTCTCAAAGTGAAGTCCGTAATGTTTCTGTTGGTATGTATTTCTTTTCCAAAGTAAAACAAATGTTTATATAGTATTTTTTATTTGTTTTTTTTACTTATATATGTATTATTTTTAACAATAATTTCATATCATATTATATGAGAATTTATGTTATATAGGAAATCATAGTTTTTCAACTTGCTCTATAAATATTATGTACATATTTTATAGATTTAATTGATATAGTAAAGGACCAACTATATGGAGCTGACTATGTTAAAGAAGAAGATCCAAAATGTTATGTGAGTGATAAAACAGGCCGAGGACCATTGCAAGATAACTGGATATCAGAGTACTGGAAAGAATGTCAAGTAATTAAAATTAATCTTTTTATAATAAATATATTTATCTAATATTACTTTAAATTATTTTGTTCAGAATAAAAGTATGCCTACTTCATCAGGAAAATCTATTATGTGTGCATATAAATTATGTAAAGTAGAATTTCGTTATTGGGGTATGCAAACAAAAATTGAAAAATTCATTCATGAAGTTGGTGAGTATTAGTTAAAAAAAATATTTAGTTGTTATTAAAATTTAAAATTTGTTATATCTATTTAAATATTTATATTTGGAAAAACTTCACTAAACAAAATGGGCTTTATTTTTTTTATAAAATTGAATAAAAAGTTGTATTTGTGTTATTATTTTCAATGCTATTTTACATATTTAAAAATTCAAGTATTTCAATCACTGCCTACTGTTATATATTTTATAATTGCAATTTTTTATAATAATAATTTTGAAAAAAAAATAATGATACTTTATTATATTGATAATCTAGTCTAGTATTTTAAAATTTGAATAGGTTATATGTTTAACATTTTAAGTATGGTAATTTATTTTAACCTTTTGTATAGAGAAAATTAAATTCATTTTTACTTATAATATAAAAAAAAAATTAAAAAATAAATAAATAACGAGTTATTTATTTATTTTCTATAATTTCTAAGTTACTTCATTTAATGGTTTAATTGAAGTTTTACTATTAAAATGTTATTATGGTTAGCTCTAAGGAAAACTATGGTTAGAGCACATCGTCAAGCCTGGGCATGGCAAGATGAATGGGTAAATTTAACTATGGATGATATACGCCAGATCGAGCTTCAAACACAAGAAGCTCTCAAACGAAAAATGGGTAGTATTAGCAGTGATTCTGAGACGTGTGAAGGAAATGTCATAGTTGAAGACTCAAAAAATACCACTAGTTTAGCTGCTACAATGGGTAGTATAGAAAAAAGCGATCTTGAAGTAGCCACGCCGGTTACATCAAAACGTATGCAAGATTCAACTCTATATTCTCCACCATCGTGTGTATCTAGCAGTTCTGATACCATATCAAGCAGTATTCAACCATCATCGAGCATGTAATTTCTACAACATTTTATACTTATTTTTATTGCAACTATAAATTTTTTATTTTTACTGTAGGCGAATACCAGTTAAAAAGAATTGGAATAATACTAAGTCACAAGTACCTTCACCTGGTTCTACTCAAAGTTTTGATACTGCACCTAATTGGAGAATGGAAAGTTTGATTCGAGATTCTGATTCTGATTTGAGCAATGATGATGAATTTTTTGACTGTCAAGGTAAATCATGTTTTTTTGAAAGAAAAAAATCAGCTTAAACAATTAAATTTATTTTATGAATTATTGTTTGTATTGCAAGTTAGGCAAAACATAACTATGAATAATTGTTAGTCTCTGTATTTCACTTTATATCTTATACATTTATTGGTTTAATAGTAATTAATATTAAAAAGTAATTTGATAACCTTATTTATAGATATATCATTAATATTTCTGATATTGTATTTAAAAGCTGATATAAATATGCTCTTTTTTTTTTTAAGTCTTATAATTACATGTATATAAAATATTATGTAGATCATAGGTCACAACTCATAAAGATATATTTTTGGCTATTAGTAATAACTAATAATACTGTAAGCCTAATAGCCTATTACTTATTATTGTACATATTAAATGTACTAACAGATGTTGTATATAATATATTTGTATGAATAATATGGCTTTATGCCAAGACTAAAATCTTTTAGTTATACTAAAAGATTTGAAGTGCAAACAGTTATTGTTATTATTGATTTTTTTGAAATTATGTTTAATGGAAACTAAAAAATTCAAGCACTCATAAAAATATTCTTCGTAAATAAAAATATCAAAATCATTTATGTAGGATACAAGCATTGATTGTATAAAATACTGTTCCATAGTCAACGATACATGGATTATTTTTTGGTTAATTTTTTTGCACAATAATTAAAATGTTTTTAATTTTAAATATTCAGTTATATATATATAAACAACTTTATTATTATTCACTTTGTGAATTGCCTTTTGACACAGTTTACCTTATTCCAATGGTTCTCAAACATTTATGACCACAGAACCCTTGTGAAATAGTTTGTGTTTCTTGAAACTTCAGCATCTCTAACTCTAACTTAAACCCAATTTTTCAATTATTTATCGAAAAACCATCACTCCGAAAAATGTTTAAACGATGGTCTGTGATTATTGTTTATTACAATCACACTATTCTCATATGTGCATCTTGCAATTAACTCTTGAGATTGTCCGACAGAACCCTTGGGTTCCTTGAAACATACTTTGGGAATTGTTGCTTTGATCAATACGTTTGTACATAGCTTATAAGTTATTACAAAATATAAATTAAATTAAATAGAGATAATAAATAAATAGCAAAATAAAATAATATTATTAAAATAATAATGATAGTAAACTACAAGTATAGATGTTAGTTTATTATATGCGATGTGTCTTGCAACAAAGACAGACATGTTTTTCTGAAATTGTTATGCAGTGGACCATGTTTTTTTGAAAAAGTCTTTAAAGAACTTTTATGCGGTTCTGTGTGCCCGACTATTTCCCATTCTTTTACTCTGTAAAGATGGCTCAGACTGGGAGATACACGACATGTATATACCTTTTTTTTTTTCATGCACATTAATGTCTTGCTGTTTGTCATTAGTCTCTTACTGAATCGTGGGGTCTAAGATGAGGCTTCTTTCTTTCTTTCGGTCTACCACTAAGATATCAGCCCTTTGGTATTAGTTACTCCATTTCTGAATGTTTCACAATGCTCTTCTTTGTATACTTCCAGATATTTTGATCTAAATAGGTTGGCCTGAATGTTGTGATGGTTATTATTGCAAAGAATTTCCGTCTTGCATTTGATATCTATGAATTCATCATGGTTAAGCTCTGCTGTACTATAGTATACCTATTCTTGCCTATTGCAACTCTTTCCATTTTTTTGAACTCTTACTTTAACTGTGCAAATCGCGATTGAACTTAAGACAGTCATAATGATTTTATAACTATGTGTATAGTATAAATTTACTTCTACTACATTAAATTAGTTAAATATATAAAAAAAAATAAATAAATAAATTATAAATATAACTATTTATTTAATCATTTATGAGCATTAACAATTTACTAATTTTTGTTTTATTTTATTACTTTATTTTTTTTTTACTTTATTAAATTAGTTGTTTTAAACTTTATCTCTGTTTTTTTAGAATCTTTGCCGACTTCTGAAATTGTTTCTATGTCTAAATGGAGTTCTTTAACAATATTAAATGAACAAGAGTTTGACTCGTCCAGTATTCCAGACAAAGAAGGTAAGTCTTAAGTATCATAAGCTGATTGAAATGAAAAATGTTAGGTGCATTCATCATATATAATTAAAAATATATTTGGCATTTTTAGAAGATAGTATATTTTCTCCTACATATAAAAAGTCATCACCTTTCATTCAACGTGGTCATAGTGTTGACACTTGTCCAGGTTCACCTATAATTAGTAAAGAAACCAATTGTCAAATAAGTACACTTCTGATGATAATACATTCTGGAAGCGTATTAGGTAAAATCATACTTATGTTAATTTGTAATTTGATATATTTGCTTAAAAATATTTTCTTATTAGATGTATACATATTTTTATAAACAAAATCAATTTGAATATTTTTTTATTTAGATGCAAATTCAGATATCATGGCCAAAAAATCGGATTTCACTACATTTAGAGGAGCTTTTGAATCAGTTATGCGACAACACTACCCAAATATGATTGGTCATGTTGCAATGAGACTTATTCCTTGTTCATCCATTTGTGCTGAAGGGCTTAGCGTTCTATCAAAGTATTATATATTAAAAAATATGTTTCAAGAATAAATTAAACAAATTAATTTAATTATTTCTAGATTAAGCCCTTATAGTTTTGATGTATCTCCATCTGGCATAGAATGCACAAATATTACACACGACTCTATCCCAATAGGTGCTATTCCCATATTAGCAGGCTGTTCTCATGACTATAAAGATATAGTATCTAACGTTATTCGTACGGCTAATCAAGTATATAGAGATTTTATTAAATCTGATGAAGGGTTTGGATTTAATGGCAGAGTGTATTTTATAGGTTTGTGTGGATTTTATTTAATAGTTAATATGTCATTACAAATTTATCTGGATTAAACTCTTTTGTTTATATTTATGTTGAATAATAGGAGATTCAATGGGATCAGTTATAGGATATGATGCTTTATGTAGAAGTCCTGATTCTCATTCTCCTCATGATGCAAGTAGACATAGTACTCCAGAGCATGTACAAAAAAAAAGCGATAATGGTATGCAAAATAAAATGTTATTATATCTGAATAAATAATCCATTACTATTTTAGATGATTGTACTTCAGTTGCTAGCATGGACTCTTCTTTTAAAGTTTTAGTTACTCCTCCAGTTAGAAGAAGATCATCATCTACTAGGTATTGTTTTATTTATTACAACTTAAGTTTTATATAAATTTAAATTTATATGCTTGAATTCTTATTTCAGTGATGGTAATGTTTGTTTGGACTTTGAAGTAAGCGAGATGTTTATGTTTGCATCTCCGTTATCACTTGTATTAGCATTTAGAAAAATATCAGCACATAAATATGATAAATCAAGTAAATTTTTATTTTTTCTTCAAAAAAAATGTGTAAATTTAATTTTATATATATTTTTTTTAAGCTTCAATCCAACGACCAGCATTGCAACAAGTATATAATCTATTCCATCCATCTGATCCTATTGCATCTAGATTGGAACCTCTAATTTCTGCAAAATTTTCAATTCTACCACCTGTTAATATTCCACGATATCAAAAATATCCCCTCGGAACTGGTCAACCGTACTATTTATGTAAGTACTTTATTGCAATAATTTTATATAAAAAAATGTTTTTTTTACTCTTGAAGTTGTATGTTTTATGTGTAGTGGAAGCAGTACAAACAAATCCTCAGTTGTTTACGGAACATAACCATCATGCTAGGCGTACATCTGAGGCAAGTATTTTGAGCACTGTTTCTGGAATAGGTGATACACTGCCAATTCAAGCAATAAATAAATGTAAGTTACATAAAAAATTCTATAGTTATATAACACATAATAATATTGTTGTTTTTAGTGACGAAAAAATGGTGGGGTACTAAAAGATTGGATTATGCTTTGTACTGTCCTGAAGGACTATCAAATTTTCCTACAAATGCTTTGCCTCATATATTTCATGCTAGCTATTGGGAATCCTCTGATGTCATTGCATTTATTTTAAGACAGGTAAAAATAATATTTAATTCCTTATTAGTGCATTGGTATGTAATTATAAAATGTTCATTAAATTATGTGCTTCATTAAAAAATCCATGCATATATTTTTATATGCATTTGGTATATGTCAGTTATTAAGGATTTCATATTGATTCATTAAGTTATCTAATTACGAGTATTTAGATATGAAAGTATTGACGTATGTATTTTTTAACCAATTTTAAGCTTAAAGGTTAATTTTATTTCAGTTTGCTATATTTGACTACAACAGTTCAGTTGGAAATGAGGAAAAAGAACTTGCTAGTTTCAGCCCTAGTCAACCTCGTGAAAAATGGCAACGTAAAACAACATTCATTAAAATAAAAGTAAATATTATATGTAAAGTAAATATATAAATACAGTAAAATCTCATTAAGACGCTCTCGAAGGGGAAATCATAAAACTGCGTATTATGGAGGATAGGCGATATAATATTTATGGTTATAGGCGTCATAGGATTGAATATTAAATGGGAGCGTCTTAACGAGGTTTTACTATATATATATTTATATTATATAATATTATAAGTGTTTATTATTTTTATAACTTATAGAATTCTACTGCAAGTCATCGAGCTAATGATGTGATTATTCGTGAAGGTTTACCACAAATAATAAGTGCTCGTTTTATTTATGGTCCTTTCGATATGTTCTCATTAGCTGGTATGTATTTATTTTGTTTTTGATTAGTTAATTAACTTATTAAAATACCCTGTTAATTGTATTTATTGAAATGTTTTATTTCTATAGGTGAAAAAGTTGATATTCATATAGTTAGAGAACCTGGTAATGGTGAATGGACGCATTTGGCTACAGAAGATTCAGATAAAAATGGACGTGTCACATATACAATACCTGATAATAAGTCTCTTGGATTTGGAATATACCCTGTTAAAATGGTTGTTAGGTAATTATTTTTATTAAAAATTCAATGTTAACTATTTTAATAAACTGCCTTTTAATTTTTAGGGGAGATCATACAAGTGTTGACTTTTTGTTAGCTATTGTTCCACCTCAAACTGAAACTGTTGTATTTAGTATTGATGGATCATTTTCTGCCAGTGTCTCTGTTACTGGTCGCGACCCAAAAGTTCGACCAGGTGCTGTTGACATAGTGAGGTAATGTATATATACTTTTGTCTATGTGTTAAAAATTAGTACACATATTTATTGAGTTTAAGTGATATTTAATTGACTCTACTGAATTATAATTTTGAAAATAGAAAAATTATCATATAAAAATGAATTTCTTTATATTATGTATATTTTTATAGATTACTTTTAAATATTTAGAAAGGCATTTTGCATTAGTTTTTTTTTAAAATTTAATTTCCTCTTTATATGATGTTTTAATCACTAATTTAGAAGAAAACATTTTAACTGTTGACGAGAACTTCTTCTTCTTATTATTAGACCTTATAGCAAGTCTATCATTTTGGTGATTAGAATTAATCTTTCTGTAGTATTATTTTTTTAAAAAATTATTCTTTTACTTTAATAATCATTAAAAAAAATGAAAAAAAAATGAAAAGTTAAGTCAGTTTCTAAAATCTGAATTAATTTGGAAGAATCCATAATTTTATTATACTTGTCAAAAATTATCAGCTATTGCAGTTTATCAATCAACTGATTAAAAGTAAAATATTGAGATACTATGAGATTATTTCACACATGCATTTATTTCTGATCTAAAATAGTTTTCAACATAAATATTATCATGATCAACATAAATAAATATTATGTGATAAGTAAAATAATTTGAATTGTATCTTTCAGACACTGGCAAGATTTAGGATATTTAATTGTTTATATTACTGGAAGACCCGATATGCAACAGCAACGAGTTTTGTCATGGTTAAGTCAACATAACTTTCCTCATGGACTTGTTTCATTTGCTGATGGTCTCTCTACAGATTTTCTAGCTCATAAAATTACATATCTTAAAAGCCTTGTACAAGTAAATAAATACATTACAAACTTATGAAATATACACTTGAGTAAATTTTTGTTGGGAAATTTTACTTATTTTTTTATTTTTAGGATCATAAAATGATTATACATGCAGCTTATGGAAGCAGTAAAGATATATCTGTATATAGTGCTTTGGATCTGAAACCGAAACAGATATTTATCATAGGAAAGGTGGGACGTAAACATCACTCAATGGCAACTGTGTTGAGTGAAGGTTATGCCGCACATTTATCCGCCTTACAGTGTCATGGGGGATCTAGGCCAGCTCAAGGAAATGCTCGTATGCTGTTGACTTCACGTGGACGATTTGGACACAATGCTTCAATGAGGCGTAGAAGGTATGTATTTATTATATTCTTAATTTACATTATTATGCTTATAACTATGTTATTAACTAAAACTTTTATACATATTTCAATAGAAATGGTTTAACCTATCACAGAAATTATATTTTCATTATTTTGACATAGTTTCTTTTTTAAATTTAATTACTAATTAATTATTTAATTTTAGTTTTTATGGCATTTTATTAAAATTACTAAACATTTTTATTTCAATATTTAAGTTTCACTAAACTGTCATGTTTGTTTATTGTTTAACTATAAATGAATAATTGTATTTAGTTCAAAATTTAATAGGTTTTTTGTTGTTTTCCAAAGAAATTTTTTTTAAACTTTTATTGAGACATTATTAGATTCTGAAAAGTATAATAATCAGGGGTTGTTCTTAAAATTATGGTGACCTAAACTTGTCTTGATCAGGTGTCCCGAGAAGAGATCTGGCGATACACATGGTTCCAATAATTGATCCATACTTGACCGCATATTATGGTGCAAGTAAATGTCAGGTAAACAATATGAGTATGTGTGCTTTGTGTGGAACAAAAAAATTAATCTTGACTGTTAAAATAAAAAGAAATGTGCACACTCTAGTTTACCTACTTCTTAACCTTATCCACGCTTATTATATCTGTCTAAAATTACTGTAGTAAATTACACTGGAAACAATTGAAACACTATTATGATTTTTCAGTTGTCTTGATTTTCATTCTTTGATACCTATTATGCTTGATTGTTCCTGCACTTCACCCATACACAGCAATACACAACTGTTACTATCATCATATTATTATAATATTATATCTACAGTTCTCTATATTCTGTGTGTTTAACTGCAGTCAGAACTATAAATTCCTGTATTTTGTTATGTATTGCAATATTAATAAATTTGTTTAAACATGCGTTAAATTTTATTTTCAACAGATCTGCAAAGAGGACGACTTCATTTCCAATTTGTTCACTGACCAGATCTTCGAGTCGTAACAGATATGATAATCTTTGATGTTGTTCTTGGTCGTGTTTTCAACGCCATTCCTCTGATGGTACCTGATGACAGCGGCATGAATGATTTCTGTGTACGTGTACCAGAAAATTTGTTAATTATATGACGACTTTTTTGTTGTCATTATTGTTATTGTTGTTGTTGTCCTTAAAACATATTAACCACTATTATAGTATTGTTGTCATTTTCTAGTAGGTTTTTTTATGTATGTTAACTTATTGTATTGTTACTTATCTAGCACATTCCTATTTTTCAGTGATTCTATTATTTTTCATTCTTATTGTATTTAACTGTCCATAATATTATCGATATTAATCATTTCCATTTTATTGTTATTGTTTTAATTGTATCATCATAATTGTACAGATTTAATTTTGTTAAACGTGTGTAAAGATCTTGTATCTTACCAATCATCAAAAAGGCTGTGCCGAGCATATTGACAATGTACATTGACGATGTTCAGTACAAAATCTAGGCTGCTAAAATTATTGCCTTTTTATACATTTTATTATTTTGTTAATTTTATTAATTTTTCTGTCGTCTTGTTAAATTTTAAAATTGTAACTCCTTATATCTCTACTGATTAATTTTAATCAATTTTATACTCAACCATAGTCATAATTTCTAGTCAACTTGTTGATCAAACGAAATTCTCTCTTTTTTTTTTAAAGAAAAAAAAATTACTCAAGTGTAAATGTTTTTTTATTAGATGTAAGTTATTATTATTATGAATGAAATACTATTGTTATGTAAAAGTGAAAAATATGTGATATTTTTTATTTTCATTTTCATACGACTTTTAGACAATTGAATGAATAACTACTTGTTCATTTATTTTTGAAGGTATTAAAATCAAACAACAAATGCGTATGTTATGTTTTATTTATCACTTTGTCCTTTCTGGAGCTTGTATAAATCTCAAGTAATAAAATTTGCGTCCGATTAAAGTGACAGTTCCACTGAAACGTTATATTTGTTATAAGATTTGATGTACGATTATACTAATGATAAGAAATCTTGTTTTACATTCAGATGTGAGTATAATTAATTATATTATTATTATTATTGTACATGATATTTAAATGATAATGGGATAAGTTATCAATACCCTTTTTTTTTTTTTTTTTTTTTATGTGTAGTTTTTGTTGATGTATGTTAATCACGATATTATATTATTACAAATTAAACAATATTATTATGTATACATGTGTATGCATAAGAAAAAATAAAGTCATGTTAAAAACTATCAAACTATCATATGATTAAAGATTATAATGGTGTGCAATGTTGTTAAATATATAAGATGTATGATTTTTATTGTTTATGATATTGATTGTCATCGAGACTGTTGATTTGCTAGATTGTTTGAAACAATACTTATGAAATCGCAGTGGAAATGTTTTGCGCATGGGGGTGGCTGGATCAGTTGAGTCTTTTCCATTGCCCCCGCAACATTCTGCTCTTCGTCCTATAAGCACTGTAAACGGATGGATCCAAACCACTACAAGAAATCTCCCATAAGGCTGTTCAAGAATTTAGCAGATGGGGCGCCCAACTTCAACAAAAAAATAGTGCTTGGGCCGAATCAGTCGTCTACAAATGGTAGGGAGTATAAGAAAATTTGGGTAAAAGTGGTTTATATAAGTATGAAAATTTACAACCTAAAAAAAAAATTGTTTTTGCATACGCGCCTGGGTTGAAACCAAACTATTATACTATTATGTATGAGAGTTTTGCGTTATGCCTGAAGTATTAATTTGTTTTTGTTATTTTTAATGATCGTGTTGGCCATGTATAGAACGAAAAACAGAGCGGTATGACTTTTTTTTAATATATCCGTGAGAAAGCTTTCCTGCACTCGAATTATTATATATTTATGTTTCGTTGAATAGCTTACGTGTTGCAATAATACCCGTTCGTAACGACAAATAATATTACATATAACCAATCATCGAACGCGATTATTAGCGGGTACAAATCTCTCGACGAAACTAATATTGTCTCTGACTTCGGTTGGCAAATCTTCCGCGTGGTGGTTATACTTAAGTATAATAAAACCATTTTTTAATACGTTTGCATGTTAGATAGGTTAGTACTTCGGTGTCATTCAATGAACTATGGACCCGAAAAACGACACGAATAATTATGTTTCACGCATAAAATAATACCTATAGAAATATTTCATATTTATTATAGATAGCTTCGAGCGGAGGTTCATTCGATGAAAATAAAAACCGCTCGAAGCCAGTACAAGCCACAGTGGCACCGATGTCCAGGGACGCCCGGATGGGGGGGCCAGTGGGGGCCATTGCTCCCCCTGAGATTTTCGCGTCACTTACAAAATTGGAAGTTATTTTACATAAAGCTGATCTTGGGTATTCAGTGACTATTCGACAATCCTTGTATCTAACAAGTATTTAACATTTTTTTTAATCAACAAATGATGATTCAATTAATTTATTTGCTTCAAACAAAAGGAGATTGTCATTACTTTTTGAATAAAATAATAAAATATGATGCGAATTCAATCAAATAAAGTTGTTTTTTGTTTAAACTTTATTATATTTTTTCTTATAAATATTAAAACTAATAACTAATAATGTAATTTTATATAAACTTAAATGAGTTTTGATTTTTAAAAAATTATTAATGATAGTAATACAAAATATGAGTAAATGAAATATGTAGCAGTAAATCTTCCTATAAGTATTTAGGTACTTACAATTTTTTTGCCCCCCCTGAGTTACATTTCTGTGGGCGTCCCTGCCGATGTCTGTTTCATATGGTATTGCAAATAAAATAAAATACCAACCAAAATGCAATTAATGTTGAATAGATTATAACTGAAATTTTGAAACAACCTTACATCCAAATCGCTAAACGTAACCCTGTCCACCACCGGACCACCGACTTAAATTTGAAGTATTAAATCCGCAATATCTACACATAGGGATTGGCGCCACTATAAGAATCATATTTATCAGCTGATAAAGCTCCGTAATGAGCTGATAGAAATAAAGCAAATGCTATCAAAATTCATAATATAATAATTATTATAAAATAAAATAATATATTTATGTTGAATTGTTTTACTGAGTTTTATACCTCTTTCCGCAAGATCATTTACAGCTTTTAGTTTCTTTACAATCTCAAAAGCATTTTGATAATATTCGTCATTAAACCAAATAGAAGGATCTTTTTGAAGGAAACTAATATCAAAATTGAATCGATTAAAAAATTCATTAGTTTCACTTGATATAAAATTTTCAATTTCATACTTCATAAAATTTGAAATAAATTGGTCATTTACTAGAACTCGTTTATATATTTTAGGTGGTTCTTTCTCAAGTTTAAGATTTTTAACCATTTTATTTTTTATTTCAACTGCTACATCGAAAAAAGCTAAATCAACCGTTCAGGACTTAAATACCATAAATGATTTTTAAATCTATTAAACGAAACTCTTGATATACTTTCATCAATAGTTTTATAGTTATAAAGTTTTTTAATAAAATTAAGATCATTATAAGGTGCGGTCGAAGCTAATATTGCATTAAACCATGCTTCAATACATACAAAAACCAAAAATATTGATATGTCACATAGACCTTTTTCTTATGTTTTTGTTTATTTAAATTCATAGCGAAAATAAATTCATAGACTTTTATATAATATATTGCCTTAGCCATCCACTTTGCGTGATGAAAAGCTCCTGGCAAACAAAATGATTGATTAGCACTGTGACCAAGGAAAACCATTGTTAGTTCTAATAACTTTCTATAGTCATCACGTGGTTGATTTTCAGTTAATTTTGATTGGGTAAAAGAAACCATATGGGTAATATAAGGTTCGAGAATTTCATTTACTTTTTTATTTTCAATACCTGATTTAAATTTTGTTTTGTCTATATTTTTCCACTCTTGTTGAAATCTTTTGAAAATTGATACATCGCAGCCTACAGACTTACTTAATTTTTCGTCAAAAACACTACGAAGAACGATTTCAAAAATGTGGTGACGGCATGGTAAATATAGTAAATTTTTTTCTAAAATCTGTTCCTAAAACATGCATGTACCATTTAGTCGACCAGTATTTACCACAGTTGTATCAAAACAATGCTTTTATAGATTTTTGAATATTCCAATTTAATAATGTATTATAAATAATTTATAATACATTATTATTATTATTTTTGCAATTTTTGCCTGCTCTTTTCCTGTACCACATTGATATTGGAACGATTTCTCCACATCTCCACTCGCAATAATCACAGCAAGTTTGTCAATAATATTTTTACCTGTTAAAGTTGGAAGTAGTTTACCATCGCAATGTAAAATGGCAGCATTTAAATTATTTTTTTTAAATTTATTTTTAGTAATATCTGCTCTTTCTTGACGCAAATTCATTCGAAAACGATTAATAGATGATCTATTAATTATTAGATCATTTATATCATGCCATAATGCTTCAAAAAGTGCTACCAAAATATGATAAGCGTCTATCACTTATTTTACATTTATCTAAAGCCCCGACAATTTTTAGAGTGATAATAATAATTTTTGCACTTTTTGTTGGTGCTATAGGCTTCACACTATTGTCTACATTTGCATTGTCAATATCCAGGGTGGCTATTTGTTAATATTAATATTAATTGCGTCCCGCGATAAGAATTTCTCCAGAATTGCGGCTCGAGTTTTTTTGGGATACATACGAATTGTGGCCCGAGTTTTTTTTTGGATTTTATACGAATTGCGGCCCGAAATTTGAAATTAAATTAATTTAAATATGTAAATTTAAATTGAAAAAACTTAATTTTCCTTCATATTTATTTGATACTGCAGGTAGGTTAAAAATGATGTTTTGTTTTTATTTAAACATTTTGGCACTGGTAAAAACTTGTATGATGTATAAATTAAAATTTGTCAATTTGGTTTTCTTCTAACCATTTCGTAGCATTTCTAATAAATGTTTCTTTTTCAATTATATTTGTTCTGCGAGTATTTAAGTGAGTGCTTCTTAATTTTATATAGGTATCATTCTGTTCATTTTTCAGAACATCGATGAATACAAAAATATTAGGATGAGCACTGTAGAACAAAGCGTTGAATTTCGAATGAAAAGCCTTACAAAATATTTTATCAGTCAAGATTAAATTATCTAGAGTTAGACAATCCGGGCTGCAACTCGCTGTACCCAAAATAAATTCGGGCAGCAATTCGGGTTAGACCTTTTTTCGTTGATATCTTTGGTACACAACTAGTATGCAGCCGAATGAAGACATTGGCATTACAAAGTGTAACAACTTGCTTGGATTTATTAACGTGAAGCATCAGGATTTTCAAAAAAATTTGAATGAGAAATAGGCTATCCATGTTATGAATATCAAATAAATCGCTATATTGATCCTTCTATTCTCGCACATGCTAAAGAAAATAGTTAGAAATATTCAAAAATAAATAAATAGAAACGACATTCAAGTAAAGGTGAATAGAAACTATTAAACCTATAACAGACCTTAGTAATAAGTCGGTTAATGTTTTTTTTTATAATTAAAATAAAT